TTCATGTTAAAAAGAAAGTAACCCATTGTTTCTGTCAGATGAGGTGGAAATATGGTAATTTGACCATCTTTATTTAATTTGTTCATGAAGTTCTCGCAATGTATTAATGAGGAAAATTGTAAATAAAGTTTCATGAACCATCAGTTTGACGCATTGATTGTTTCTGGCTGGAGAGATGCAACATTATTAACATATAACATGAATTTGTGGTTGGGATAGGACTTAAAGTCAACAACAACATATAAAAATTGTTTATGTTTACATGTTAATCATTTTATGACATGATTATCTGCTCCCAGGTCCTTCTGGCTACCTAAAAAGAAACGTTTCAGCAAACTAAAATTATTTTCTATGCAAAGCAGGTACCCTGCAGAGGAGTAGATCCCCATATCAGTGCATTACCACAATGACAACAAGCTGCTAATTTATATCCTGTAAAGATAAAAATGAGAAACTTTCAAGAAGTTTGCAAAGAGAAAATTGTGGTAAATTAAAACTGACCAAAGAAAATGTCAAAACACAATTTCTGACAATTATTGAGTCGGTGAGTAATATATTCCATTAAACTGAGATAAGAGGTAGGATTAAATAAATGTTCACTTCTTCCTACTAATTTTCAAACAGAAAAGTAGTGGTAAGTTAATTATTTTGTTCCTGGTGTATCCACATTTTATCTAGTCTTACTGATTACTTGTTTTCTTGTTTTTAAAAACCTGTTTGACATAAATAAATACATGAAATATTAATCTATCTTGGCATTATTACCAAATGATATTAAATAAATGCTATGAACATGTTCAAAAGTTATCAGATAGTGTTAAGTAACTCCAAACATCAGTTTTAATGTTAGTACCTAAACTACAACAGAACCAAGGTAAAATAAAATTTTTTCTACTTCAAATACGGATTATGAAGCTAAAGGAAATGATGGAAAATCAAGTTAAAAACTTAGAAAAGAAATAAATAAAATCTGGTGCATTGGCCATGCAAAGATCTATGCTTTTGGGAGATGGTCAACATGTTTTTCTATAACCTTTAAAATCCAAAATAAAATTTTTGACCTCAATTAATTTGGTTTCTAGAAGGAAATTTACAAGAGCT